GTGTCAAAAACACGACTGGCACAGACAAATAACGTTAATTAAATCTTACCTGAAGTCACAGTGAGGTTCCAAAAGCCAGATGCCATATATGCTTGCAGAAGCTGGTAAAAATAAGAACACACCACTATATTTTCTAATTAATTTCATAGCCAAAGTAATCCATATGAATTGCGTGGTTTCCTCCAAGTGCCCTGAAGAGACACAATCGGCGACCGCTCTTTATAATACTGTTTTAATTTAGACTTATATTCACATTCAAGAGACATTTGCATGCACATCAGCTCTGAGGCATATCTGGAACCATTCTAAAGACAGAGAGTGTTTTCTAACACATACGAACCAATCAGAGCCGTTCAATGGCTCTGGAACTAATCAGGATTAGTCAGTATGTTGTTTGAATTTAAACAAGTAAACACACGTTTTTTTATTTTGTTTTGTTTTGTTTTTTTTCATATATGATGTTGAACTCCTTGTGGGAATTTCAGAAATATATATTAGAAAATAAAGGCATCAAGCTTGAACAAATTTATAATCACCTAGCTTATTACAATTAATGTATCATGTAATGAACAACAGCCTAATCAACCAAAGTAGCATAACCTTTTAAGTAAAACTGAACAACATATTATACAACATATTTTAAATATCGCAATACTTAATAATAGTTGACAAACGTTTGTACATTGTAAATGTTAAAAATGTTTTTCCAAATATTGTACTTTTCCAAATATTACAATTATAAATACATAAATATTTAAAATATAACCATGTGTAGACCTACTGCAATATAAAGTACATTAAAATCATTTTGTTATGTTCTTACACAAAGTAGACATTAAATATACTTTAAGTAAGGGTAACATAAGTATGTTTTCTGTAAATACACTAAAAAGTCACTATAAGTATGATTGTGTTTAGTATATCCCTTAAAAGTGTAACTAAAAATGTATTTATTAACAGTATTTCTACTATACTTTTTAGAAATATACTAATAGTGTGCTTGTGTTTAGCATATTCCTTAAAAGTGTAACTAAGCATATATTTATTACCAAAGTATTTCTAGTATACTTTTTATAAATACATTAAAAGTATGCTTCTGTTTAGCATATTTCTTAGAAGTATAACTAAGCATATATTTAATACAAAAGTACTTCTAGTATACTTTTTAGAAATATATTAAAATGCAATTCAATATATTTATATTGCACTTCAAATAAGCATGTTGGGAATACAAATGTATTATAAACATACTACTTGAATTTCAAGTATATTTTGAATACATTTAATACTACGTCTTTTTCACCTGGGTAGTGTTAATTAATTAATTGATTTATTTATTTTTGATTGCTACAAGGCTTTGACAATCAGATCTGTCTTCACAATATTGTGTCTGGGTCTGTTTTGGAGATCACACTCCACTTATTTTTATTCTTTCAAATGTAAGCCATCTGCTAGCTTAGACACTAGAATCACATATGACTGGCTTGATCTTACACATTCCATTATTTTGATTAAATAAGATGTTTTAGTGTAATGTACAGGGCTAGATGCACAATGCACCTAAAATCTTGTTAAATGCTATAGTATAGAGTAAATGGTGTTATTGGTTGGTGTTTATTCTGTAATTGGTAAACTCTGGTTGGATTCACTTTCTGTAATTCTGCATTGGTAATTTGATTTCATGTCTCCATTCCTGCACTGAGATAATCACAATTAAAAAAGATTTTTTGATGCACCAACTACTCGCTATTGAGTTTCTTATCAGCAATGACAACCAACAGAACCAGAAATAAAGGTACAAAAGCTATCACTGGGGCGTCAGGTATTACTATCAACCATTTATGTACAAATGTGTACTTTTTGAGAAGGCACCACCCCAGGGGCATCTTTGTACCTTTATTTCAGAGAGTGTAGCTCACTTTTTTTCTTCTTTTATGCTGGACAGTCCAGCTCTGCTGTTGTGCTGCTCATTGACTGTGAGAGGTGCTGTTGCCCAGGGAGACGACAGTGAGCAAAGCAAAACAACTGCGTATAGAAGGCATTGCGTCAAACGGCATAGAGAAAAGACGTCGAGCTGTTGTTTGTAAATTACAAGGGCTTGGTTTGGAATCTTCTTAACAATACTGAAGAGAGTTTTTCAAACGCTCGAATATTTGAAAACTGGACGTGTATGACTGAATTTTGCTTGGATTACTACATTTGCAGGATGCAGGATAACAAAGGACTCCAGTTTAGGCGGTGTGTAAAATGGCAAGCAGGATTCTCCATTTTCCTTTTATTCGTGCTGAACACCGTGACCGGGCAGATTCGTTATTCGATTCCAGAGGAAATGAGACCAGGATTGTTTGTCGGAGATGTGGCGAAGGATCTCGGTTTGGATGTAAAAAGGTTGGTTTCTGGCCGTGCGCGTCTCGTTATTGATGATAGTAGACAATATATCGAGCTGAACCGCAACAAAGGACATTTGGTGGTAAAAGAGAGAATAGACAGAGAGCAGCTCTGCGGACAGAAATCTCCGTGTAGTTTCGGTCTTGAGATTTTGCTTGAAACCCCTCTGGAATTTTTCTCGATTACCATCGAGATTCAAGACATCAATGATCATGCGCCCGTTTTTTCTAAGAAAGAAATAATTCTCGAAATAGGCGAGTCCACACCTGTAGGCACTATTTTCTTGTTAGACACAGCGACTGATCCAGATGTTGGTTTGAATTCTCTTCAGAGCTACAGTCTGAAGCCTACTGATAATTTTGCTTTAAAGCAACACAGTCGCTCAGACGGCAGTAAATATGCAGAGATGGTGTTGCAGTCAGTGCTGGACAGAGAGAAACAGAGCGCGCATTCACTTATTTTAACGGCTATTGACGGTGGAGACCCACCGCGCTCTGGAACTGTTAAAATAGTCATTACTGTCCTTGATGCCAATGATAATGCACCCATTTTTACGGAAACATTGTATAAATCAACTGTTGCTGAGAACGCAGTAAAAGGTACGTTGATAACTAAAGTAAGTGCATCTGATGCAGACGAAGGTTACAATGGCAATGTCACGTATTCATTTACTCATATGGGAGAGGACGCGGCGCACCTCTTCCAAATCAATGCAGCCACTGGTGACGTAACACTCACTGGCAATTTAGACTATGAAACAGTTCAACAATATGAACTTAATTTGCAGGCTAAAGACCCATGGGGTCTAACCGGTGCGAGTAAATTAGTAGTGGATGTTGTGGATGCTAATGACAACAGCCCGTTTATAACAATGACATCTTTCTCGGGTAAAATACAAGAGGATTCTCCGCCCGGCACAGTTGTAGCTTTAATAAGCATCCAGGATTTAGATTCCGGTAAAAATGGACAGGTCCGCCTAGGCTTAGAACAAAGTACTCCATTTACAATTAAACCATCACCGCGCAAATACTACACTTTGGTCACCGATGCACCACTAGACCGAGAAAAAGCTTCCAGTTTTAACCTAACGTTAGTTGCGTCAGACGAGGGCAGCCCCTCATTATTCAGTAAAAGGACTATTTCTCTAGATATTACTGATATCAATGACAATGCGCCAGCCTTTAGTCAGCGTGAATATAAAACATATATATTTGAGAATAACTCTCCCGGCGTTTCTCTGCTGACTCTTCAAGCAACAGACCCTGATTCAGGGCAAAACGCGCGTATCGCATATTATCTGGTAGATACAGATGTAAATGGTTCACCCATCTCAACATACTTCTCTATTAACGCAGACAATGGAATTATCCATGCGGTGCGATCATTTGATTACGAACAGATGAAAGCGTTTAAAATACATGTGAGAGCGCAAGATGGAGGGTCTCCACCTCTCGGTTCAAATGCTACAGTTCTCATTAACGTTCAAGACCAGAATGACAACGCGCCTCAGGTTCTGTATCCGGTCCAGTCAGGTGCTTCTGTGGTGGCTGAAATAGTGCCTCGGTCTGCAGATGTCGGTTATCTGGTGACTAAAGTGGTGGCTGTTGATGTGGACTCTGGACAGAATGCCTGGCTCTCATATAAACTGCAGAAAGCCACAGACAGGGCGCTGTTTGAAGTGGGCGTACAGAATGGAGAAATAAGAACTGTGCGCCAAGTGACAGATAAAGATGCTGTGAAACAAAGACTCACTGTTGTAGTGGAGGACAACGGGCAGCCCTCTCGATCAGCTACAGTCAATGTTAACGTGGCGGTGGCGGACAGCTTCCCTGAAGTGCTCTCGGAGTTCACTGACTTTACGCACGACAAGGAATATAACAATAACCTGACTTTTTATCTGGTCCTGGCCTTGGCCGCAGTCTCATTTCTTTTCATAACATGTTTGGTCGTCATAGTATCTGTTAAAATCTACAGGTGGAGGCAATCTCAACTGTATTACAAGTCCAATCTTCCAGTTATTCCGTATTATCCACCGCGTTACGCGGACACTGTTGGCACAGGAACTCTGCAGCACGCCTATAATTATGAGGTTTACAGAACGACCGATTCCAGAAGGAGTGACTGTAAGTTTGTCAGACCTGCAAGTCAGAACGTGTTAATGGTGGATCCTAATTTTACACTGACAGTGCAGCGCGCGCCCAGCGATAAAAATATGCTGGATGAATTAGATTCGCCGGTAGAGGTAAGATAGTATTTGTATTTGTATTATTATTATTATTATTATTATTATTATTATTATTATTATTATTATTGTTAACCTGACTTTTTATCTGGTCCTGGCCTTGGCCGCAGTCTCATTTCTTTTCATAACATGTTTGGTCGTCATAGTATCTGTTAAAATCTACAGGTGGAGGCAATCTCAACTGTATTACAAGTCCAATCTTCCAGTTATTCCGTATTATCCACCGCGTTACGCGGACACTGTTGGCACAGGAACTCTGCAGCACGCCTATAATTATGAGGTTTACAGAACGACCGATTCCAGAAGGAGTGACTGTAAGTTTGTCAGACCTGCAAGTCAGAACGTGTTAATGGTGGATCCTAATTGTACACTGACAGTGCAGCGCGCGCCCAGCGATAAAAATATGCTGGATGAATTAGATTCGCCGGTAGAGGTAAGATAGTATTTGTATTATTATTATTATTATTATTATTGTTGTTGTTGTTGTTGTTGTTATTATTGTTGTTGTGTACTCAGTTAATGTAATATGGTAATGTGGTAAACTTTGACGATAAAAATATGCTGGATGAATTAGATTCGCCGGTAGAGGTAAGATAGTATTATTATTATTATTATTATTATTATTATTGTTGTTGTTGTTGTTGTTGTTGTTGTTGTTGTTGTTATTGTTGTTGTGTACTCAGTTAATGTAATATGGTAATGTGGTAAACTTTGAAACTTTGGACCTGTGCAACATTTTACACATGTTTGTGCGGAGTTTGCATATATTGCAGCACCTCCTCAGTGGACAGCGCTGCTGTCGATTTACATTATTTTTTTTCTTCTTTTTCTTTAAATGTATGCGTTCTGTTAATTAGGGCTGCACGATTATGACAAAAATCATAATTGTCAATTATTCCTTTGACATTGTAATTGCGATTATTAATTTACGATTAAATGAATGATGTTTAAACCTTTGCTTGAAGCAACTTCATGCCATATTTTTATATGAAAATAAACAAGCCGAAAACACTAACTGAAAACCGTTTATTGCTTTTCTATAGTATTAAGCCTCAAATGTCAACTATACATCGGATTGGTTTCTCTTTAAATAAAAAGGTAAAAATATGCATGGTGTTATAATGTTATACGAAAACTAAAATTAAAACAATGGAAAAACCCTTAAGATAACACGTAGAAAGAAAAAAAGCATCTTAAACATGCAGAATAACATAAGTGGACTTTGAACGATTAATTGTTGGTTTGAACGATTGTGCAGCCCTACTGTTAATGCTTATTTTGGACTCTAAGGGCCGCTGTTGGTCAGTGAAATACTTTATGTGCAGTAGGCTTGCCTCACAGTAAACCATGGCACCACCCCATCAGTGCGTGCTACGACGCAGCAGACTCATCTGTTTCATTCGTTACGAGTTGGTGAGAGGGTGACTGTCTTTTTGTTCCAAACGAATACAAGACGTTTTTGTAATCCTGTCTGGGAATATTCTTCTATCATACAGGAATATTAATGGTGAACTTGCTTGCTAATCAGTATGGCTGTTAAGGATTTTTATCGAAATGGATGCGCTCAATGGCGTGTTTTCTTCCAACCGCAGTGGCAAGTATTGTTTTTCATCTCGTGTTACATTTCTTTTGCCATCTCTCAAATCCGCTACTCCATCCCTGAAGAAATGACTAAAGGCTTGCTTATTGGTTATGTAGCACAGGATCTGGGGCTCGATATGAAAAGGCTTCGAATGGGTCGTGCGCGTATCGTTACCGGAGAAAGCACTCAGTACGCAGAGCTTAGAACAGACAAAGGGATTCTAGTCGTGAGTGAGAGAATAGACCGAGAACAGCTTTGCGGCGACATCACGCCATGCAGCTTCAGCTTCGAGATCATTCTCGAGAACCCAATTGAACTGCATCAGGTAACCGTTGAAATCATAGACATTAATGATAATTCTCCTGTATTCGAGAAAAGCAAAATTAATTTTGAAATAAGCGAATCTGCGACAACTGGTTCACGCTTTGCATTAGAGAGTGCATATGATGCTGATGTAGAATTGAATTCATTGCAAAATTATGTTCTCACAAGGAACAATTATTTCGTTTTAAAACAACATTCAAATCCCGACGGAAGTAGGTATGTCGAAATGGTCCTTGATAAAGCCTTAGATCGGGAGGAGCGTCCTAATCTATCTCTGAAGCTGATCGCTGTTGATGGCGGAAACCCGCAGAGATCTGGCTCGGTTAATATAGATGTTACAGTTTTAGATGCGAATGATAACGCACCTGAGTTTAACCAGACTATTTATAGGGCGTCTGTGATGGAAAATGCACCGAAGGGTACTTACATTACTACCGTTAATGCCACAGATGCAGATAGTGGGTCAAACGGACACATTACGTTTTCCTTCTCTGACCTGAAAGAACATTTGAGAGATATTTTTAGCATTGATGACAGCACTGGCTTGGTGTCTGTTTTAGGAAATATTGATTTTGAGAAAGAAAAACGTTTTGAAATTAGAGTTAAAGCGACAGACCAAGGAGGGTTGACTAGTACAAGTAAGCTTGTAATCGAAGTAGTGGATGTAAATGACAATGCGCCCGTAATCAACCTCATGTCTCTCTCGAGCCCTGTAGCAGAGGATGTGCCTCCAGGTACAACAATTGCAGTGGTTAATATAAAAGATTTTGATTCTGGGAGAAATGGACAGGTTGCGTGCTTTATTAATGAAAACCTTCCATTTAACATCAAATCATCCCTCTCTAACTATTATAATTTGATCACAGATGCTTTCCTTGACCGTGAAACTCACTCAGAATATAATATAACAGTGACCGCAAGTGATTCAGGTTCACCTGCACTTTCGAGCTCAACGACACTACTCCTTAAGGTTTCTGACATCAATGATAATGCACCAGTTTTCGATCGAGGTAGCTATTCAACACACCTTCTTGAAAATAACGAACCAGGTCTGTCCGTATGTAGTATAACTGCGAGAGATTTAGACTGGAATCAAAACGCCAGAGTGTCGTATTTTTTAGAAAATACTCAAATTGGTGGAGCGCCGATTTCCTCTTATGTGTCCATAAACTCAGAGAATGGTGTAATACATGCTGTTCGTTCATTTGATTATGAGCAAATTAAACAGCTTAGTTTCGCTGTAAAAGCACAGGACGGAGGAAATCCTCCTCTCAGCAGCAACGTGAGCGTGAAAATAATGATTCAGGACAAGAATGACAACGCGCCTCAGGTTCTGTATCCGGTCCAGTCAGGCGCTTCTGTAGTGGCTGAAATAGTGCCTCGTTCTGCAGATGTGGGTTATCTGGTGACTAAAGTGGTGGCTGTTGATGTGGACTCTGGACAGAATGCCTGGCTCTCATATAAACTGCAGAAAGCCACAGACAGGGCGCTGTTTGAAGTGGGCTTACAGAATGGAGAAATAAGAACTGTGCGCCAAGTGACAGATAAAGATGCTGTGAAACAAAGACTCACTGTTGTAGTGGAGGACAACGGGCAGCCCTCTCGATCAGCTACAGTCAATGTTAACGTGGCGGTGGCGGACAACTTCCCTGAGGCGCTCTCGGAGTTCACTGACTTTACGCACGACAAGGACTACAACGACAACCTGACTTTCTATCTGGTCTTGGCCTTGGCTGTAGTTTCGTTTCTCTTTATCGTGTCTATCATCGCCATACTGTCAGTCAAATGCTACAGATGGAGACGCGAGCGGATGTTTTACAAATCTGGAGCGAATCTTCCAGTTATTCCGTATTATCCGCCTCTTTACGCAGACGTAGGGGGCACAGGAACTTTACAGCACGTGTACAATTATGAGGTTTGCAGAACCACTGACTCCAGAAAGAGTGATCTGAAATACGACAGACCTTGCAGTGAAAGCATCATTAGTCTGGACAGCAGTAGAACACAGACACTCACGCATGCTCAGAGAGAAAAGCCAACCAATCAAGATTTCGATGATCAGGTGAGATTTATATATTGGTATCTGTTAGAGTTTTTTTTCTTCGTGTATGTGTGTACATATATGAAATTTATTTGTGGGACTATTGTTAAGTCCACCGTTGCTTGTGTGCTTTTCTGTAAACACGCTTTTTTTGGTACCAAGTAAGGTAATTCTCAGAAACGTGAAACTACACCCATTTTGTCGTTTTAGATTGCTATTGTACGATATATGAGTAATATATTAATTGTATAAAACCGTTGTGTAGAAAATGTCTTGATTCACTGACCATGGTGCTGAAATACTGTCAGTTGGATGTTCCTCCTTATGACAGTCTGTTTTTCTCCCTTAGAGAAGTATAGTTTTCTCATGTTGCTTACATTTTTACGCATTTTTTAATTAGTTTTAGTAAATGTTTTTATTTTTCCTATTTAAAAAAAATCCTATTTTTTAATTAGGCATGCATGACAATTTAAAGACTAACCAACCGCACAATTCTTAGAAGTTGATTGCAGTCCAAATGTATGTTAATTAATATATTTATAGTGTATATGTTCAATATATTATTATATAATGTATCTTGTTTTACTTTTAGAAATTTGTATATTTTATTTTAATTTGTCGCGAGTTGGGCAGCAGACGTCTGAAGTAATAATAACAAGAGGTATGTGTGTATTCATTTTC